AGACCTTTTAAAAATGACATTTAGCCAATGATGAATGATGATTATCATCATCATCATCATCATCGTTACAAATCGTATACAATCATTAATCGTAAGATTTAAATTTTCAATTCGATCAAAAAAAAGCATAAAATGATAAAAAATGATATTTACATTATTGTTGGAAAAATTGATTTCCGAAACAAAAAAAATTTCCGGTAAATAGAATGCCTGAATTTGATTTTTTTTTTCTCATTCAATCATGATATCTTCAATGTCTAATCGACCGCATGATGATGATATCGAATGTTGAAAATGGACATGTTCGGATTGTTTTGCTATCGATGGCAAATGTTAGATTCGTCATTGTTGTTGAGTATTTCTTCACTCTTGGTTCTTTTTTTCGAGTTTTTCCAACGAAAAATGGGAATCAATTTTCGATTTTTGTCTTCACGAAGAAAAATTAGGCTTTTTTCATTTCTTTTGATTTAGAAGTTTTTTCCGAGTTTGTAGTGGTTGGAAAAGTTTTTTGTTTTTTGTTTTCAGTAAACATCTTATTCGATTCGTAAATATTTCATCATTTCGAACGTAACGTTATCTATGACCAGTGACATATATATGATAATGATAATTTTTCATCAAAATATCATNTATTTCAAATGAAGAAACATTATGATCATCTTGAATGAAAAGATGCTAAAAGAATTCGAATAGAAAAATAAAGAAACAAAACAAAACAAAAAAAAAATTTATCGATTCTTGACAGAATTTCGATTATCAAAGACCTTTTAAAAATGACATTTAGCCAATGATGAATGATGATTATCATCATCATCGTTACAAATCGTGTATACAATCATTAATCGTAAGATTTAAATTTTCAATTCGATCAAAAAAAAAACATAAAATGATAAAAAATGATATTTACATTATTGTTGTTGGAAAAATTGATTTCCGAAACAAAAAAAAATTTCCGGTAAATAGAATGCCTGAATTTGATTTTTTTTTCTCATTCAATCAAGATATCTTCAATGTTCAATCGACCGCATGATGATGATATCGATGTTGAAAATGGACATGTTTGGATTGTTTGGCAAATCGATTCAAATGTTAGATTCGTCATTGTTGAGTATTGGTTCACTCTTGGTTCTTTTTTTTAGTTTTTCCAACGAAAAAATGGAATCAATTTTCGATTTTTGTCTTCACGAAGAAAAATTAGGCTTTTGATTTAAAAGTTTTTCCAAATTTGTAGTGGTTGGAAAAGTTTTTCTGTTTTGTTTTGTTTTTTGTTTTCAGTAAACATCTCTCATTCGATTCGTAAATATTTCATCATTTCGAACGTAACGTTATCTATGACCAGTGACATATATATGATAATGATAATTTTTCATCAAAATATCATCTTTTTTTTTCCAAAAGACATATATGCAACAAATTACTTATTCAAATCTTATGATCATTATTAACATAAAACTAAATTGTTAAAATCGATTTCAAATTGATTGATTATTATATCCATTATCATACGAAATTACCCAAGAGATCGCAACAACAACAACAAAAAATTTCCCATTTAGAGAAAAGAATGGACAACAAACAACATCAATGAATTATGAATTCATTAACAAATTGACAAGAATAACAATAAACACCAAACAAAACAAATCAATTGATCATGTTGATAATTTACATTTGATCAAATGATTAATTTTGTTTTGTTTGTTTTGTTTTGTTTTGTTTGTTTGTTTGTTTATCTGGAAAACATTTTATTTTTCCCATCATTATCATAAGTCATTGATGAAATACATTATCATCATCATCATCAAACAAAAAGGAAACAAACTTTACCCAAAAAATTCAATGAATGAAAATTTTGTACATCTATGTCTATTGTGTGTGTTTAATGTATTTTGATTGACAAAATTGAACAACAAAACAAGAAAAACGTAAATGAATAGTGTTTTTGTTCTTTCAGCAAAATGTAAATTCTATTCAAATGAAGAAATCGAATGAAAAGAATCTTTTATGTTTGAATGGAAAATTTTTTTTCCGTTTTTTTCAATTATTACAGTACGAACAAACAAACAAACGAAGAAAACGAAAAATCGTACGAATTCAAGCGACCGGAAAGCGTATTGGATAATGGTATGACATGAACAAAACGTTTGACGTTTACAACAACAACATTCTGTGTTTTCTGAAAGAAAGTGAAAAACATTTTTTGAATTCCCCTTTTTTATTTTACTTGATGAAAAGATAGAGAGAAAAATTTACCTTTACCAAGGTCAAAGATAAACAAACAAACAAACAAAAACGAAATTATCGTCATCATCATTGTCAATGTTTTTTTTTGTTGTTGTTGTCAAAACATTCGAATTTATATATCGAACGAAAAAAAGAATAATAAATACTTTCATTGTATAAACATAACGTCATTCGAATTTTGTTTTTGAAATTTTCATTCATTTTTTACTAATTGATAATAATTCTTGATTTTGTTTCTTTTTATTTTATTTTCTTTGAAAAAAACAGATATAATAACGCCAAACAAACAAACAAGAATTATAAGAATGGCAATAACAACAACAACAATTTTACAATTATAATCAAGTAATAATCAACCTCGAAAACTAAGAAAAACTGCTAACTGTTTTTTGTTTGTTTATTGTTGTTTATTGTCTGCAATAATCATCATCATCATTTTTTTACCGAAATTATCATCGGTTACACACACATTTGATTGTGAAGAGATTCAATTTTGTCTTGTTTTCTCTCTGTCTCTCATTCTCTATCTTGGTTACACATTCATCATCGGAAGAAATAGAAGAAGAACAAAAACTAACAAAGTTTATTCATGTCTCTTTAAAGGTTTTACCGCCCTCATCATCATCATCATCGTCATTATCATTATCAAGAATGATTTAAATTGATGTTTCCATTTTGCTGTTCTTGTTGTTGTTGTTGTCGAACAAAAAGTGAACAAAAAAAAAATTCAGATTCGGATGATTATTGCTGGATATGATCCAAGGATTGTATCAAATATTATAATCATCATCATCATCATCATCATCATCAACGACAACAACAACAGCAAAACTATGACTAGGCGACATTGTCAAGTTTTGTTATCATAAATTATACGACCAACATTCATACGTCATATGAAATGAATTTGTATATTCTATCGATTCTTTTATTCAATTCATAATGATAACCAGAATGCAATTGAAAGTAAATTCATCATTGAAAAAAAAAGAGAGACAGAAAGAAAGAAAGAAAAACAGTGAACAGAATAAATGATAAAAATGAATACAACCTAAGCAACGAACCGAATCTAAAATTCATTTTATATTTTGTCTAGAAATATATTTTCGAATGAATAAATGAATAAAGAAGAAGAAGATAGAGAGAAAAAAATCTGAAATCATTTCAAATTCCTCAAGAATTTCATAATTTTTATGATCAGCTAAATAATTCTGAATCAAAATCAACAAGAAAATGATGTCTTCTCTATCTCTATGTGTGTGCGTGGGTGTTTTTGATTTTGATTTTTGAATGAATAATTTACCAGAAACAAATAAGATTACAACAAGAAAAAGGTGGAAAAACATCATTAATTTCAAAGTGATTTCTGTTGAAAAAAAAATCTTTTAATGATGACTATTATCATTTCATCAAATCATTTCATTAATCAAACATCATCATCATCATCATCATTGACTGTGATGACCAACAATAACAACAACAAAAATGATGAAATTGATCCATCATCATCTTCATCAGTGATTTCAGCTTTAAATCAACCAATATTTTATTTATTACAAACAAAACATGAAGATTTATCAATTATCGAAACAAATACTTTAAAATCATCAACTGAAATAACAACAATCGATACGAATACATTATATTTTGCTAATTCAAGTGATCTAGAATTAGCATTAGGTCCATCACGTGATTCAAATTATATTGTTATCTTAATGACTATTGTTTATATTGCAATATTAATTACCGGTGTATCGGGTAATCTTATTACTTGTTTAGTAATTGCAAGAAAACGTTATCTACATACGGCAACAAATTATTATCTATTTAGTTTAGCTGTTTCAGATTTATTATTATTAATACTTGGTCTACCACATGATCTAGTATTATTATGGCAAAAATATCCATATGCATTTAGTGAATGGTTTTGTATAATACGTGGTCTATCATCTGAATTATCAACAAATGCATCAATATTAACAATTATTGCATTTACAATCGAAAGATATATTGCTATTTGTCATCCATTACGTTCACATACAACATTAAAATTGGCACGTGTTGTTAAAACTATAATTATTATTTGGATTATAAGTGCACTTTGTGCATTACCAATTGCATATGAATTTGGTATCGTTCAGGTAAATATTCTGATTATACATTATTGAATCGGCATAGTTTTTGCAATTGCAATTCAATTGATTTTGTTGTTATTGTTTATTTGTCTTTTTTTTTGCAAATTCAAAGGTTATTGATGATGAAGGTCGACCATTTCCCGGTAGTGATCAATGTGCCGTTAAACATTTATTATATGAATATATATTTGAAATAGCAACAATGGTATTTTTTGTCATACCAATTTGTATAATAACTGTACTTTATATATTGATTGGTCTGAAATTACGAGCTTCATCTAAAAGTGTTCATCATACAACAACAACAAATAATAATAATAAATATCATTATCAACAAACAAAATCATATAACGAAGATGATGATGATCATGATGATGATCATGATGAATATTCGAATCGTATAAAAAATAAAAATCGTAAAAGTTTTTTACATGGTAGATGGCGATCATCCGGTGGTAAAAAAGTTGATGATATTGGTGGTGGTGGTGGTAGTGGTGGTGAAAATCGAATAAGATTTTCATTTCATCATCCTCAACATAATCATCATCAACATCAAAATCATCAATCAAAAAATGCAAAAAATCAATTATTAACAATATCCGGTTCGGATAATATAAATCCAAATTTAAATATTGGATCATCATCATTATCATCTGTACAATCATCATCACCAATACATTCAACAAACGGAAATAATGGTAAAAATAGTGATCATCAACCAACATCACCACAACCACAATTACCAATAATATCATCATCATCAACATCATCACCAACAACAACAAATGCATTACAACATTCAATGTCCATGTCGGTTCGACGACAGAATGCATCACGTCGTGCTGTTATTAAAATGCTTGGTAAGTAAATAATTTTTTTTTATTCTTCAAAATTTGAATTTTGATTCTTTTTCCGGAATTGTGTGAAATGAAAAAATAAATATTCACAAATTCACATTGAATTATTTATAATGGAAAATTATTTTTCATTTTTTATTTTTCATAGCAATAAAATCCACTAATCAAATATTATTTTCATTTTTTTTTTAAATTCTCCCATCTCCTTTTCTCTCTTTCTCGTTTCATCATCATTTTCATCCGGATTTTCAACGAAAATTTCAATGGACAATCATCATTCGTTTTCACCGTTAATGTTTAATCATATTATTTGTGTTTGTGTGTTTGTGTTGGTGTTATCATATAAATACCGAATTCTGGAATTTTTTTCATCCTGCTACTGATCAACACAATCGGGGAAAAAACCGATTAAATGTCCACAAATAATATGTTTTGTGGATTTTTTTTTCTATTTTCGTACTAAATTATAATCGGATTGGCAAAATAAAAAAAAACTAATCATATGGAATGAATTATTATTATCTATCCGTAACGGAACAATCATCGATATATCATTAAATTCTCTATTGTAGTGGCCGTTGTAATTGCATTCTTTTTCTGTTATTCACCATTTCATGCACAACGTGTTATGGCTATTGTAATGGCACGTAATAATGTTAAAGATGAATATTTTATACAAATATTCACATTATTAACACATATATCTGGTATTACATATTATCTATCATCAACAATGAATCCAATATTATATCAGATTATGTCAAAAAAATTTCAATTAGCATTAAGAGAAACATTACCATGTTGTTTCTATATATTTTGTTTTTTTCATCATCAACGTAATCATCGCAATTATCATCAACGTAATATTATTGGACAATCAAATGCAAGTGGTTATCGTAATTCAAAATATCATCATCGTCATTCAAAACAACAACAACACCATCATCAACAACAACAACAAGAAAAAGAACAATTTCGTTCAGAAACATTACAATCAATTGATGATAATACGAATGTAGAAACATTATCATCATCAACAAAATATCAAAAACAACAACAACAATCATCGGCAATAACAAAAACAAATCCAAATGAATTGGATTTATCAAACTATTGTAATTCATCATCTAATCGATAATAATCAAAATGAAATCATTTTTATCAGTAAAAAATTTGAAACATTGGAAAAGAAAATTCGTTACCACCGAGCCGGTAATTGTGTAGAAAATCCAATCGAAAATAACATTTTCAACAACACGTGATCCAAATGAAAATGCTTTTTTGTTGTCATTGTTTTTGTCTTAACACCGAAAAAAAACTCTCCATGTTGATCAAATTTTCTCTTTTCACTTATGGTTGTTGGTTGTTGTTATTGTTTAATGTTTATCAAGTTGAAAGCAAAATTCTGTAATGAAATTCAATTCAACAGCTGCAAACAACAACAACAACAACCGCACAAGAATAATATCAACAATCAAAAATTGTAATTCGAGCTAAATGAATAAATATCCAATATCAAAAATGTATTTATTTTTATTTATAATTTATTCTCAAACAAACATAAAAAAATCGAAATGTAAAATACGAAATGAAGAAATTACATTTGATCATCATCATCATCATTATCTATTGATAAATTTTGTCATCTTCATAAATGTCTTACACCGAAATCTTTTAAATAAAATGAAAATCTGAATGAAAAAAAACATCAATTCAATAAATAATATTTGTTATTTAAAAAAAAAATTCCATATTTATTTAAATTTTCATTTTTTCTAAATAAAATTTTTCTGTTTAAAAACATTTAATTTGATTTATTCAGCAAAGTTATTTTGAAAACTAAAAAAAGATGGTTTTAAAAAAAATTAATGCGACAAAGTTTTCTATTTCCTTTTTGTTTGGCCAATGGATTTTTTCAAATGACAATTTTTTTTTCGAAAAATTTTGTTTTCAAATCATCAGTTTTTATCAAATCGGATACAATATACGTAAATTGTGAACATTTTTATCATTTTTTGTTTTAAATCGTTGGACAACGAATAAATAATCCTCTTTTCTTGCCCGATTTTTTTTTCTCATCCGGATATACATGCACGATGATGGCCAAAATGTGTTTTATGAAATATTTTTCTGGTTTTTGTTTTTGTGATTAATTTCATCATACCGGAACTATGGTCGCCCTATATCTATATCGATAATAATAAAAATATTAATTAAGTTCCTGGAACAACAATTTTTTTTCAGTACACAACATACATACATTTATCGTTTGGTCGGATTATTTTTTTTCTTCATTTTCTTTCTTCATATTGAAAAATCGTTGCTGTTGTTGTTGTTTTTTTCATCATTTTTTTCGTGTTTTTGACCAAGTTGTTCAATGATGATGATGATGATAATCGATAAATAAATAAAATTAAAATTTATAAAAATAAAAATAACAATCAAATATCATTATCAACATCCCAAGCGCACATTCACAAATTCAATCGAACCAGGAAAAAAACATTAAAACCATATGACCAAATTTTTTTTCTGGAATTCTCTTTCATGAGCATTCCAAACGAGATTCCATAACAACAACGAATTTTTGTTGTTGTTGTTGTCCCCTTCATGAATATCGTTGTTCTGTGTTTCGTTCGAAATTTCGAACATTTAATGTGTTCGAATTTTTTTTTTCTTCAATCAAATTTTATCATATAATCAATATTTTTCTTTTTTTTTCTAATCTGATAATAATGATCAATATGGCCATGGATATAATTACATCATACGAATCGATGAATGAAATAATGAACATTTTTTTTATGACCATTATATTTTCGGTTACCGAATGGTTTTATCAAGGTTTTTTATTATTATTATTGTTCGTTTTATTATTATTTACGATACAATTTTCGAGAATTCATTGATTATGTAATGTTTTTCGATTTGAAAACGACTACTTTATTTCTACTATCAGCTATTCTTATGATAATCAATATCAATGAAATGACGATCGAAATGTTATCAATTGATTGAAAATTTTCCGATTCTTTCATTGATAACATTTTATTCACATAGAAGAATAATTAATGAAAGAATTCAACAACAACAACAACAAAATATTTTGGTAATCATTTACAATGTCATTTATTCATTGAATTAATTTCCCTATAGAGGATGATTCNCCTGGAACAACAATTTTTTTCAGTACGCAACATACATACATTTATCGTTTGGTCGGATTATTTTTTTTCTTCATTTTCTTTCTTCATATTGAAAAATCGTTGCTGTTGTTGTTGTTTTTTTCATCATTTTTTTCGTGTTTTTGACCAAATTGTTCAATGATGATGATGATGATAATCGATAAATAAATAAAATTAAAATTAAAAAAAATATCATTATCAACATCCCCAGCGCACATTCAATAGAACCAGGAACCAGAAACCAAAAAATAAAAAAACATTAAAACCATATGACCAAATTTTTTTTTCTGGTTTTCTGGAATTCTCTACCATGAGCATTCCAACGAGATTCCATAACAACAACGAATTTTTTTGTTGTTGTCCCTTTCATGAATATCGTTGTTCTGTGTGTTTCGTTCGAAATTTCGAACATTTAATGTGTTCGAATTTTTTTTTTCGTTTTCTTCAATCAAATTTTATCATATAATCAATATTTTTCTTTTTTTCTTTTTTCTAATCTGATAATAATGATCAATATGGCCATGGACATAATTACATCATACGAATCGATGACTGAAATAATGAACATTTTTTTATGACCATTATATTTTCGGTTACCGAATGGTTATATCAAGGTTTTTTTTATTATTGTTCGTTTTATTATTATTTACGACGATACAATTTTCGAGAATTCATTGATTATGTAATGTTTTTCGATTCGAAAACGACTACTTTATTTCTACTATCAGCTACTCTTATGATAATCAATATCGAAATGAAATGACGATCGAAATGTTATCAATTGATTGGAAATTTTCCGATTCTTTCATTGATAACATTTTATTCACATAGAAGAATAATTAATGAAAGAATTCACCAACAACAACAACAAAATATTTTGGTAATCCCAGGGAAAAATATTTCTCTTGAAAAACAGTCGCAGAACAGTAAATCGTTAACTCTTAAAACACCATTCTCAGAGTCTTAAAAAACGCACGATTTTTCGAAGTTTAAAACTGTTTTTTAAGAGTTTTCCGAATGAACCGAAATGGGGGTTTTACCGGTCCAAAATTTAAATCCCTTGATTCTTAATTAATTATTCAAGCTAATTGATCGGTTAAGAATATCAATTTTTATTTTTAAATCAAAAAAAATCATAATAAAATTGTACAATTCAAAAAAATACAGTAATTAACAAAATTGACTTTTCGATTCAACATTGGCTCTTAATATCATCTAAATCCAACGCTCACAAAATGTTAGCTTTTTCTGTAGCCAAATATTTTCAAATATTGTTTCAATCAATCGAGTGAATTGTTCATATTCTTTTTGATTATAGACAATTTCATGCCCATCTTAATGCATTTGCCCCAATTCCTTGACCACTTTTTCCGATTATTGCAAACAATGAGTTGAATCCATTATCAGTCAGAAAAGCTTTCTGTATC